TCACAAATTGAAATGTCACGTACAAAACATAAGCCGTAAATGTCGATACGGTGCACGTAGCGCAGCGCTTGTCGGCCGTTGACCGTCCCTCCTATGCGCTCGGATTGCGTCACGCTGGACCACAAAAAACTGTTGAGGTATGTAAAAACAAGGATGCGATAACAAAATAATGGACATGTCTGGGTCCAAGGCGCTTTGTTGTCGCAATGGCAAACAAAATACTGACTTGTAATAGGGTCTGATTAATGCACCTGTCAGGTACGTCGGAATAACAGCGTTTCGTTGCGTCGCAGATCCAAGATCCAGCTGTGGTGGAAGCGGCAGCGCATGCGGACGACGTGGACCAGGTCGCCTACCAACAAGCAGCTGCGATTTCTGCAGTGCCCGTCCTGGAAGAATTCGAAGAGGAAGACGGGGTCAACGAGCCGGGCGAAGACTAAACTTCATGGCGGTGACGGGAAAAAAAAACGAAAATGACCCCCGCTGCGGCGCCGACACGGACGAGGTCAACATCGAGCACGAGGCGCTGGCCTTCGTTGCCGGCTTCGTGGCAGCCAAGTGCAAGCACCTCGATCCAAGCATGGGATATCCGACCTGAGAAGCACCACCCAGCTGTGTGCCAGACACCTGGATACGCACGATTAGTCGGGGTGGCCTGGTGGTACCGTCGCCGGCCTGGATGAGCGTTGTAGAGGCTTTCGAGGTCATTTTCCAGCAAGTGATGGGCCGAGGCATGGACCGAAACATTGGTATTGTCGACCGCCTCACTAAACTCTGCTGAAAAAAGTTTTTGCGTTGGATAAGCGGATCGCACGGAAGCTGGTGACGACGCGCATCATCTCCGCCTCAGATGGCTCAATCAAGCTAGGGCTGGGCGGGCTGCTGCCAGGCGCACAGCCAGACAAGTGCGACAACACGTGGACAGCACGATGTGACCACCGTTGTGCTTATGTGAACATACGTTGATGACCTTGAATGAACATCGTTATGCCTTCTTTTTTGTGGTTTGTATGCTTGTGTGTCCGAGACATAGACGGCTCTTTCGCAGAGAACCATTTGGGTTGTTTTAGACGGGTTATCTTGTCGCGTATTTCTAGAGTTAAGCTGACAATTTATAGCTATGTTCTCCGCCCCCCCCCATCCCCCCCCCCTGCTTGCTTTATGTATTCGCCAAGTGTGCACAATCGAGTGGATGTTGTGCGCAAGAATCGCTTTAAATAAGGGACGGTTAATTAGGAGTCATACGTGTGCACGATGGATTGGCAGGGTGGCGTGACTGATCTGATATTGATAAATGCCACGCGCCTCGACCTTCGGAGGCTTGGTAGTATAAAGTATTACGGGTGTACGATGCATTGGCAGGGCGGCGTGACTGATTAGATATTGATAAACGCTACGCGCCTCGACCTCTGGAGGCTTCGTAGTACAGTTGACGCGATATGCAATGTCCACAACGTCCTATGCTCTACCAGGCAGCACGGCACTTCCGTCGTCTCAAACTGTCTCCATCACACACCAGTGCAACCCGGCGCGTCATTAGGTATAGTGCTGAGATCCAACGCGACAGTTCGGATAATGATCCTGGTGTCGCATAGTTCCTCCTTTGGCAGTGGCTAAACCTTGAGCAGGCTTGCCAGCCCGAATTTGAGCAGCTGTGTGCTGGCCAGTTTCAGTGCATCGCTATAGACTCAATGTTAGGTATTCTCAGCAAGTGGAAGTGGCATGGCACATGGGCTCCCGCTTCCTAGGCCTATGTTCGCGGTATAAACCCAGCGTGGCAACAAATCCCTCTTCCATATTTTCTCATCGTACTTCTTGAAATGCCCTGAAGTGATCACCGGATGCATTTGGTCGTAGGCGTACCGGTGTGGCAGACGCGAAGGTAATGCAGGCGGGGCGGCGATGCCAGGCTGCGACTTTGTGATGTCACCGTAATGGTGAGGAAAAAGTGCGGGAAAAATCCCCGGATGATCATACCTTATCACACGGCCTTGCTACGGGCCCAAGGCTGCTAGAGTAAAAGGCTGCGCAGACGTGCGATCAACATCGAACTTAAATTTGGTGGCCCGTAGTATGGTTTTTGGTTGACACTACAAAAAGATTGGTGTATACTAGTAACATGATTAAAAGCAGAGATTTCGTCAATGAACTGGGTGGTAATCCTGTTCTACAGTTTTATTTCACTTTCATGTTCATCTGCATTGTACATTTTGCATTCCACTTCCTCTCAAGACAAATGAACACCAGGATATGCTTCCAAAAATAGATGCTAGTTAACCAAGTTTTCGACTTCCAGCACCCGCGCCATATTCGTGGCATTCAACGCGGATGGATAATTATATGTAATGTCTTTTTGTAAAATGGATATTATATGTAATGTTTTTTTGTAAAATGGATATTATATGTAAATGGATAGATATTGTAGGCAATGTTTCTAAATAAGTTAAAACGGGCATTGATTGTCCATTGCTATTTATACTGCAGTACCTGTATGGAGTGAAATGTGAAAATAAGGTAATGTGCGGAGAGCATGTGCCAATAATTTCGCTGCTCTGCTTCTCCTAGGCATTGGTTAACTCGCAGACCGATAATGCTGGGTGGGTGAGATGAAAAAGATGCGCAGAGAATAATACCCGGATGCCCTCATGTATTCTCAAGGCTCTCTGACCTGGGTTATGGGCAACGACTCTTTTACTGGTAGAAATTTCAAAACTTGCCAACAATCGCTCCATTTTACAGGAAAATTTGTTTTCTCAAGCTGAAATGGCGCACGCCTGCATTTATGCCTCCCGGGCTTCGCTACTCACTGCCCCCAGTAGGGCAGGCCAACCTTGATCCACCCTGGCAACGCCCCTCCTAAGGCTACAATATGTGTATTCCAAATTTTCAACGCGAGTTCCAGTGTGCTGCGAGCCCGTGTGGCACATCGTTTCTCCTCCCCACCCGATGGTGCTATTGTTGTTGTATGTGGAACCGTTTGACACAGACTGTTTGACGCAGACTGTTTCTAGTCGCTTCCGGCCAGAGTTCTTCGGAATAAATCACTGATGAATGGGCTACCCCATCTCTCCGTCGGGGACATGTTGGAAGCGCATCTCAGCAATGCTTTTGTGGTTCTGGTGCAAACCAATGCCATTTCCAGCTGGAAAGAAAATGCTTCCGGTTTATGGCGTAATTGCTGTATGTTGTATTGATACTTGGTATGTCCACGTTAACCAATGACAACGACGAGAGTTTTAAACATGTGTTCAAAATTTCCTTGAAAGGACCTCGCGCTGTGATGCAACACAAATTAAGTTTCCATTATCAAAACAGTCCACTTTGTGGCCCCATACCATGAAATGTCCAACTATGCATCAGTCACCCATGACGGCCCGCTCAGCGCTGTGGCGCCATGCCAGACAGCGAGTGGGTGGGTCATATATATAGCTGTTAGACTCCCCTCCGTTCAAGCTCAGACATGAGCGCTGACCGCATCCCGTCTGTTCAGTCGGAGCCTGAACTCTGCCTGACTTCCGTAATGCTTCCCGATACTTCTTTTAAAATCTAAAAAGTCGCCGTCAACCTCTGACCAGCGGTCCGTTGCAACAGATACTTCCGGGATCTTAAGACGACACCCCACTTTGTGATTGGCTTAGCCGACCATCGCACTTGCCGCACTTGCCGTACTTGCTGCTCATTAGTTAACACGCGCCCGAGTGGGGTGGGGGTGGGGGGCAATTGACCCCCATCCCGAAGGTTTCTCCAGAATGGTTTCCGAACGGCGCGGGGTAGTCGCGCCAAATTTTGCATAGCTGTAGACATTTGAATAGCGGATCGTGTGGTGAAAAAATTAGATGTACCTTGTAAGGTCGCTGACCTATGGCAGATCAAAGTCAGGCCATAGTTTCAGCGAAGTCACTTTCTAGGATATCGCTCAATCTGATGCGGCAACGGAGCGTTAGATGAAGCTATACATATCTGAAATGCTTTCTTAGAAAACACAACAATTGAATGAGCAAATTGCACGGACCTAGTCAGGTATAAAGGTCAGACCAAGGTCAATACCAACCTGATTTACTACTCTAGGGCATGCTGTGTGGGATAGTTTCTGCTGATCATTTCAAATTTATTGATAGCAGGAACCGCATTCTACATCTCCCCATGGACTTCTTAGAGGTCAGAATAGGTCATTGAGATAAAAGGACGGAGGTCAACATTTGGCTTTCAGTAGCATACTGCCTAGCGTAAATTTTGTCGCTTATTCAAATACAAAACCGAGAGCAGTCTGGCACTATTTTGGTTACCACGACTTTCGAAAAGTCAAACAAGGTCACTAACCTTAAATAGCACGTGACCTTTTGTTGAGAAACGTTTATCTAGGTTCTGGGGGCACTTTGGAGACCAACCTGGAATTTGACCTTGTTTTACCTTATTTGACCCGAACGTTATGACCTAGGACCATAAAACTTTGACCTAAGTGAGTTCACGTACAGGTCAACATACCCCGTGAATTTGGTGTCTCTAGTCCCCACAGTTCTCGGGATCTCAGGGGGGGGGGGGCTCAAATTGACCCACACTCCCACCCGAGCGAAGGATATCCAGTCGGCCACCCGGGCGCGTGTAAACCATCACATCTTTCCGAAACCTGTGACCATGACTCGTTTCCGATGTACGTTGTGTATAAAGGGCACCGTTAGTGACCGTGAATGCTCATACGTTCACTGGACTCGAAGACGCAGGGCTGCTGTTGGTTGTGCACGTGGACATTGTCATGTGGTGTGAGTGTTGTTGGGAGCAAGTTACTGAAAACAGAAGCTAGCACAACGTGAGCCTTCTTGAACCACTGATAAAGTCGTGAGGAAGGCTTTCCAGTTCAAACGCTCCATGCACAGGCGCACCAGGATGCTGGCTGAACACCCCTCCGGACTCCTGGTAAATGCCCTTAGCCCAGTCAGCCGTGCACATCGCTTCATATCGCCCGCTCGTCGTCCCATTCACCCTACCCTCAAAGACACCACTCGCTACCACAGAGTCAGATGTATTACTTATAAACGAATGTTTGCGAGTGGGCGGGCAGTACGCGCGCGCACCTCCGCCTACTCCTCGTAATCGAAAGGCTCGGGAGGCTCGGGCTCGGCCTCCTCGGGCTCCTTCTGTGGCCCGTGCGCTACCACCCAGTCGACCAGTTGCTGGGCGCCGGCGCCCGTGTCGCGCACCATCAGGATGCCGCCGGCGCGCAGGTCCTTCACAGTCTGGTAGCGGCTGCCTTCGACTGGCTGAACCACGCGCAGCTGGTGGCGCAGCACGCGCGCTGGGTTGGAGAGCATCTCGAACGCCGGCTCTTCTTTTTTCTTGGCGTCCGCCTGCCGGGAGATGTGAACAGGTCAAATGTGAACAGGTCAGGGACGGACAGCGGCTGCTGCTCACTTTTGCAGCCGTGCAACCCTGGCTAGCTGGCACAAAACACGAGGCACTTGTCTGAATTCGGATGATCCACGTGTTCCACTTCCCGGACGCGCCTTACTGTGGTACACAACCTTACAAGCACGGCGCCTGACAGCCGCCGTTTGTTACCTTTATGGAGTTTTGTTAATGTTCTACACTGAACATATATGCACGGGCTCTGCAAACAGTTCCCACCCGACTCCGGGGTGTAGCTGCCTATTTTGCTGGAGGCTCCACTCCTCCCCTAAACTTAGAGAAAACAGCGAGCCAATGTCGGGGAAAAACCTGGCTGGCTATTTCGGGGAATGAGTCAACCAATTTCCAAGGCCTAATTTGTATCCTGTGGGCCAATGTTTCTGTGACTGAGACTTCGTGGGGTCACAGCCCTCCCCAATAGCCCACCGCTGGACCAACGCAACAGCAAGCGGTTACAGAGCACGTCCTGTTGAGTCCCATCCTCGCCACACCTTCTCCTTCTCGTCCTTCTCCGTTTCCTGCTTATCCTTCTTGTCCTTCTCCTGGCCGGCGTCCTTCTTGGTGTCATCGTCCACGTCCATCTTCTCGGGTTTGTCGTCCTTCTTCTTCTCGGCCTCCTTCCGTTTGGCTCGCGCCGTGATCGAGAGCACGGCCGTGGCCACCTGGCGGTGCAGACGGCAAACGTCACGGCCGCTGACCGACCAGATGGAGTGCGGGGCGGCAAGCATGATCTGTCGTTGAGTCAGCCGCGTTCGGTTCAATAGCGTAAGGTGACGGCAGCGTCAGGCCGAACTCAACCCGAATAGGCTGAACTGAACCGGTCCTAGGCTCAGATCAAGGCGATTTAAAGGTGCAAATGTCGTAGACAACACACTCAGCAAGGCTGATACAATGGACTGTGGTCCCAAGCCCTGGTGGGCTACGACTAAAACCTGACCACGCCTGATCGAAACGGCTTTCTGAAAATCATTACCCAGATACTGCCAATGACCACCACGAATTTCCTCGACCAAGTGTAGTTTTCACAATCGATAGCATTCCAGCCCGACACAATATTGCCCAGGCAGCGACAGCAACGTCCAACACAAACATAGCATACTCCGCCATCCTTATCCCTCTCCGCATGTGGGCGCACAGGCGGGGCGGAGGGAGGGACGCCCACCTTTTCCCTGTCCTCGCGCTTGCGCTCTTCGATGGGCGGCGGATAGGCGTACATGCTGGGCCGAGCATTGGAGCGGACCTCCATCTGCGGCATCCGCAGGTCGGCGTTGAGCCCCACCAGGCAGGTGGGCGTGAACGCCAGGCAGAGGAAGTGCGCCAGTGGGTACCAGAACCAGTACTGCGTGAACACCAGCATGCCGACCACGGCGGCCATGTTGTTGTGGCCGGTACGCGACTGCAGCGCCACCGTCACGTTGCGGCCGCCGGCGTCGATGATGCCCTTGGCCAGGATGGCGCCCAGCTTGGCCATCACGTCCTCGTGCTTGTCCGACACCACCTTGGTGTACAACTGGCGGAAGTCCTTCACCTGTCCGCGGAGAGGTGACGCTTCAGTGGCGATGCAGCAGACAATGTCGGGCACAGCAACCCGAGCTAACAACACGCGGCTCCAGTGGCATGCTCCACTGTCGCTAGAAAGCAGCAAGCACACACATCACGGCACTGCCTCGGCCAAGGGCCAAACGTTGAACAGACATCTGTGGCTTTTAAACGCGCTCCTTTCCATGCGCCGCTATAGGCGCAATGTAAAGTTCAGGGTGGACTGGGTGGACGCGTCTCCACGTGACGCAGGCCATGTAAAGCAGCAAAGTTTAGACATGAGTCACCAAATTGGGAATTAAAACCGGACCAACAGCGGCAAAAACTAGAAGCGCACCAAAGGGACAGCAATGGCAGTCAAGTTCGCCTCTACACGATCTGTCAGCCCGCTCCGCCCGCGCAGCAGCGAGCGGTGGGGCCGAGCGGCGCGGCGCCCGTCTGGTCCGCCTCACCTTGGGACAGGTCTGCTCAGTCTGCTGGATCAGCACCAGCGCGCTCGCGATCAGCGCGCCCTGACGCACGTAGTTGACCAGGTCGTAGCACATGGGCTCTAGCAGGTACAGCGCCTCCTTGGAGCCGGTCCCTGGGGACGTTTGTCCATTTGTCATCGGTCACCGGCAGACACTCAGCAATGGGGGCGACCACCAGCGGCGCATTAGATACGCCAGAGATGGTGAGAGATGCATATCGTGTATCATATAGCGAAGAGACGCACGCTAAAGCATTGTAACGCATACTTAGGTCGTGTCTTTCTTCGCGAGATATTTCGATGGACATCATTGATATGCCAAAATGATGGACATAATGGAATGAACAAATCAGACAATGGGCATGAATGCTATGATGGCATCAATGAAGGCTGCTTCCTGCGAATCTCACATACAACACTTATTCACAGATTTATAAAGTACCTGGATCTTTCGCTGATTGAATGGGCAGCAAATTACCCAAAGGACACTATCTTGTATTAGATACAATTCAAACACAAAAGGAAAAACTATAGTGATTGTAAGAACGAAAGTAAGAAATGGTGCCACAGCAATTCACGGAAAATCATTCGCCAGCGCCACCTGCCGCGGTGCGACCTAACGACGTCGACTACACCTTGCAGCCTCTCTGCTCCTTCCCTGCCCCCCCCCCCCCCCCCGCTTCGGTGAAGCAGAGGCTGTGATCGCTGACCTGCGCACGCAACGCCCAGGGCCATGGCGGCGCCGTAGCGGACATGCGGGTTGTACGACTCGGAGAGGAGCGACACCACCGATGGACACTGCTCCGGGTTGTGAAACAGCAGGAATCCGATGGCTATCACGGCCGCCCGGCGCACGTCGTCGTTCACGTCCGAAACCTGAGGCGAGTGAAAGTAGGACAGGCGTCAGAGGGTGCCGGCTGGCGGCGAGCGAGGGCCGCGTCACGGCAACTACCTCTGCAAAAAGCAATAACAAAACAAATAAAAACTATTGCTTCCACAGTCTGGATGAGCTTGCACCAATCAGCCAGTCACGACTGTTTACCCAGAACTCGCAGCGGGTGTTTACCCACCCTGCGCAGCACGACTGACACGGTCGTGTCCCAGACCGTGTCCCAGACCCAGACTGAAAATTGGTGGCAGGAGTTATCTGATGCGTGAAATACGTCGGACCCAGTGTCAGGCCCCTTTAACTTAGGAGCACGAGATATGCCCTCAGGCGTTTTCGTAACTTAAAATGACGTTGGTATGTTCATGGCGCCGTAGTACCAATAACAATACATGATATATGATAAACAAATATATCTTAGAGATCACAGAGGTGTACCAGAAAACTGTGAAAATAACCCAGGTTAATTTGGAAGGAGTGACCTGGTGAGCTAGGTCAAAGGTCATCGATCCAGCTTGGCATAATGCCCGCTCTTAACTTTCATCTGCAGAGAAGCGCATACTTTCGTATGTGGTCTTCGCAAATACGCTTAATTATCGAGGGCACGAGCGTCTACACAACTTTCCAATGGCTCAAAACATGGCCCTTTCACTACTTTTGGAATTCGGACGCCGCCGAATGGGATTTTCGTCTACCAGCTCCCATAGTAACTCTGCCCGACCTAAACGTGACGATATCTAGAGTCGAGGTTATTCGTAAGGCTTGACGTAACGCTGATCGAGCTGACCGCTGCAGCACTAATAGGGATACGAAGGTAATATGAATGCTACGAAATCAGGTCTGGTTGATCATGCAGTGCAACGCTGCAGCACCGACAACGGCCCCGGACACCGGTTCCGTGCGACTCTCGTCGTTACTGTCGCCGCATACTAGGTGTCCAGTGTCACACCCCCGTGGGCGCACGTGCGCCGGCTTCAGTAGGCCCGAGTACAGACAGGTGACGCTGACTCAGTTTACTGGAGGACTGGACGAATGTGTTCTCATGTGGTACAGTACAAAGCAGGGTGATTGACAACATCATATATTACTGCCTGGCCACGATATCAGTACTGCCCGGCCAACGAGTTGCAAAATATGGCTCGACATATTTGTAAAACGTACCTAAAAATTAGATATGTTCTGAATGTTGTAGCAACACAAAATTATGAAAGACATCATCCCCGTACCTCGACATAGCCAACATGTGTCCACAGACCGCTGCACATTTATGGAGGTGGTTTAAAACGTCGGCGACTTTGCGGCGACTTTGTGCAACATTGGGCAACGACATGGTGGATCTGATGCATGACATAATCCCTGGTCCCTGGTACCGATTTGTAACAAAATATAGGCATTTGCAAATACATTAGAGCTGCAATTCGCATAATCTTGTTGAGCAGCAGCTGGCAGAAAAGCGTCCCATGTCCGTGACGTCCGAATGTGGAAATGAGTGAAGCAGGCCGTGTTTTGAGCCACGGTGAGGCTATTGGCACTCGCACCCTCTGATATTATGTTTGTTTTGGAAAAACAACACGTGATAAGCATCATCTGACGCATAAAAAGTTAAAAACGGATATTACGCACGCTGAAAAGATAGCCTTTGACTTGAGTCATCAGTTTACTTCTTTCCACGGTGACTGAGATGAATTTTTTTACTTCCATTGTATGAATATTCGCAGTCCAGAACATAAATAGAAAATTATACAACTGAATAAATACGTTGACATTACATCCATTATTACAGGTGACACGACGCCATAAACGCACCAATGTCAACTCCAGTTATGAAAACGCCACAGGCATATCTGGTGACCCGTTAGTCAGAGGGAGTTAATGTCGTGTTCGAAGAATTATACGCATCAGATGATCTCCGGTGCCAATTTTCCGTAAAATCTTAAACGAACGTGTATCAAGAGGCTATTAAATCGCCCTGCTGGGCTGCGCTGAGTGGATGATCAGAACCCGATCAGTGAAGCAAACCACCCGTCACACTGTTACGTCGCAGGCTTACCCATAGACAAACGACAAACGTGTCCTTCCACCACCGTTCGGCCCGGCCACACGCCAACTTACGGCAACGTGCAGCAGACGTCGGATGGCCTGGTTGTTGCCGGTACCGCAGTAGGCCATGGCCACCGTGTACATGCCGCTGCGACGCAGGATGGGGTCCTTGTCGGAACACAGGCTCGTGATGAGCGTGTCCGCCTCCTCCAGACGCTCGTACATCGTCAGCGCAATGCCTGTCGGGGAGGCGGGGGGAGGGGGGGCTGAGAGTGGTGCCAATCATAACGCCGGGGAGGGGGAGGGGGGCTGAGAGTGGTGCCAATCATGACGCCGGGGAGGGGGGCTGAGAGTGGTGCCAATCATGACGCCGGGGAGGGGGGCTGAGAGTGGTGCCAATCATAACGCCGGGGAGGGGGAGGGGGCTGAGAGTGGTGCCAATCATGACGCCGGGGAGGGGGAGGGAGGGGGGCTGAGAGTGGTGCCAATCATAACGCCGGGGAGGGGGAGGGGGGCTGAGAGTGGTGCCAATCATAACGTCGGGGAGGGGCAGGGGGGGGGGGCTGAGAGTGGTGCCAATCATGACGCCGGGGAGGGGGGCTGAGAGTGGTGCCAATCATGACGCCGGGGAGGGGGAGGGGCTGAGAGTGGTGCCAATCATGACGCCGGGGAGGGGGGCTGAGAGTGGTGCCAATCATGACGCCGGGGAGGGGGAGGGGGCTGAGAGTGGTGCCAATCATGACGCCGGGGAGGGGGCTGAGAGTGGTGCCAATCATGACGCCGGGGAGGGGGGCTGAGAGTGGTGCCAATCATAACGCCGGGGAGGGGGAGGGGGGCTGAGAGTGGTGCCAATCATAACGCCGGGGAGGGGGAGGGGGCTGAGAGTGGTGCCAATCATGACGCCGGGGAGGGGGAGGGAGGGGGCTGAAAGTGGTGCCAATCATGACGCCGGGGGAGGGGGAGGGAGGGGGGCTGAGAGTGGTGCCAATCATAACGCCGGGGAGGGGGAGGGGGGCTGAGAGTGGTGCCAATCATAACGCCGGGGAGGGGCAGGGGGGGGGGGGGGTGCTGAGAGTGGTGCCAATCATAACACCGCGGAGGGGGAGGGGGCTGAGAGTGGTGCCAATCATAACGCCGGGGAGGGGCAGGGGGGGGGGCTGAGAGTGGTGCCAATCATAACACCGCGGAGGGGGGGGGGGGTGGGGGCTGAGAGTGGTGCCAATCATAACGCCGGAGAGGGGGAGGGGCGGGGGGGGCTAAAAGTAGGGCCCATCATAACACCGCGGAGGAGGGCTGAGAGTGGGGCCAATCATAACACCAGGGGGGGGGGCTAAAAGTAGGGCTTATCATAACACCGCGGAGGGGGGCTGAGAGTGGGGCCAATCAAAACGCCAGGGGGGGGGGGACTGAGAGCGGTGCCGATCACAACTTCCTAGATGACTCCATGAAGACAGACTTGAGAAGCGACGGTCCATACTGAAGCAACACTGGGGACGCGCCGTTGTGCGCAGTTCTGTATGCAAATTCAATCGTCATATGTGACACAGCAACGTGAGGAGCTACCCAGTCAGAAGCAAGCGCACGTTTCAAACGATTTCGAGCCGAAATCCTGATGGACAAAAAGGCATCAGTAGACGCTGGATGTCGTGCACGTCCTCCACCTTAGCATTATTTCATCATGCATTATCACCATGCTAAAACGTGACTTGGCGGAGACGCTCTTTCTCACGACCACGAAGACGAGAGTCCCATAGATTTAACCTTCAACTTGCTGCGATCACTGATTTCCTGCGACACATCGCGACACGCACCCCCATAGAACGTATTACCGTGTCTCGCAAGTCCAAGCTTTAGACATGTTGGTAGAGGAGCCACCAGCGGGGCCGACTCTATCCCTGCGAGCCGCATGTCAACGCGTACGTGTCGCCCGACATACAGACCGGACGGGACCACGTGTTGTTGTTCGTAATGGAGACTAAGTACCACGCGGCTACTGAGGTGATACGGCGTCGCTTGCCTCACCCTGGCACGAAAGGCGGGCACCGCGGGCAATCGAACCCCGCACCTCTGGTTTCCCAGACGCGCGCCTAAGCCACTGCGCCACCGGCACCCGCAGCCAAGTGTCACTCACCGACGGCCAGGCCGCGCAGGATCTTCTCGTGCTGCGTCTCCTGCGAGTACGCCACCATGTCCTCAATCGCCTGCGCCGACTTGGAACCCAGCATGACCAGACCCATCGCGATACCTGGTTAGGAATACATGCCGGTTCTATCAGTCATGCACGAAGGCGAAGCATCACAACGTGACATTTTGGCGAGGACTGACGGACACGCGCTTGGCCGATAGCCTCCCACTGCATATTACACAGTACATCTGGTGCGCATAAAGAGTGGCCTAATCTGCAGGTGACGAACAACGTTAACGTCTTCAGGTCGGTAACCACGGCACACTCGGGCACTGCCACTCACCGGCTGCCTCTCCGGTGACGGCGTCGTCCTGGTACAGATTGAGTTTGAGCTGTTCGTAGATATCGGCCCGGTGCGTGCCCATGGCGGCCAGACCCACGCCCAGACAGCCGCCATGCCGCACCACCTGCCGACGCACGGAGGCGTCAGCTCCTATAGCACATGACATAGGCATGGCAACGGCGGCGGGGGGGGGGGGAGGCAGGAGGGGTGTCCGCCCCCCCCCCCCCCCACACCACCCAGGTTAAGATCCGGGGCAGAGCCCCCTCCCCTTTTGTTAGGGCTTATCTTAGTTTTCAGATACAAAATCGAGAAGTAACAACAAAATCGAGGGCACGCAAACTCTCTTCTCTAGGATCCACCACAACGGCCTCTGATCCCGGGGACATTCCGCCGCATAATGTCATAAAATCGGGAAGTAACAACAAAATCGAGGGCACGCAAACTCTCTTCTCTAGGATCCACCACAACGACCTGTGACCCCGTGGACATTCCGCCGCCCAGCTATGCATGTGTCGTTCTGCTCCGATATCGCTCCTTGTTCTCTGTTTCTTCTTCCCACCGCGTTGCTACACTCCAGCGCTCTCTGTCTCTGTTCCCAGCTGCCTTCAGCTCTCTTTTCCTTCAGGCACTTTCTCCCTCCGTGACGTCGTGCTCCCCACTGACGCACCTCATTGTTGGCCTCCTTGAGCTGCTGCACCAGGTAGTCGATGATGGCGGCGCCATGGTTGACATGGATCAGGCCGAGCGCGTACAGAGCGCCGCCCTCTGTGTAGCCCGAGCTGCCGGCCGCGTCTTTCGGCAGGTACGCCTGCATAAGACCCAGCGCTTCCTGTCGGCGACGCCATCAGCAGTGTTAGCATCATTGATATATGATACCACGATTGGCAACATCCATGTTAAATTACTAGCAGACGTCTGCAATCCCAAAGAGGGGCATCCACTGTAAAATGGTCTAGACTCGTAAGCAAAAACGACAGATTAGGGTACACCAGGCGAACTACGGGCAGCTCGACACACCAGTGTATGGCTTACCCGCAGCCCTACGTTCGTCAACAGCCAACAGTAATGGCGTCCTGCGCCGGCGCCCATCACGCCCTCTAATTCCTCTCACGGTTGAGGCATGGCAACTTGGCAAGCAGACAAGCATCCACAAACAGTACATGTAGGATTCAGCCCTACTAACTCATTTTTCATCATATGTTTCTGCCATAATGAAAGCTAGTATTTGTAGGAAATGAGGTTGAACACTCTCGTTCCCATGGTGAGACAACGTTTTAGGCGTGCCGGTTTCTGCTGCTGGAATTTGACTCGTCGCACGCGAAACTTTGAGTTGCGGTGCGTTGCGTGCGTTGGTAGGAAAATATCTGAAGCGTTGCAGTCGCGTTAATTAGGTGAAAAATGTTCTAATCTGCAGACTACCTATTCATCTGAAACCTTTCATATGAGTTTCTGCAGGCGGTCTGCACCTTCATGCCGGGAGTGAGTGAGGAATGTTCCCCAAAATTGGCGGCTAAGAGGCAATGAAGTCGGATTTTTCCTGGTACAACCGTAAGCCTAGTGCTAAATTTTCACAATTCTCGCGGGAGAAGGGACTTGAGCCCCCAAAGCTCCCCCCCCCCCCCCCCAATGACGCGATGGTTCTCGCGCCTCCGCCATTTAAGATCAGTAGAAGTGCCCGTGCAGAGAAAACCTCGAGTTAATCAATACCTACACTTTGTGCACGCTGGTACCATGTTTTTTTTACTGGCACTCCGGTTATAAACACAATTGACAATTGCGATGCCAATGGCACACCTGCACTGACAATTCTACAACTGAATGCGACCTCACTGTTGTGTGGCAGCCAATTGCGCTTGACAGCCAGTCCCGGCATATCCTCTTGGTAGATGGGGGGGGGGGGGGGGTATTTTATCTCACTTATCTTCCTGCAGCGCAACAAGGTTCACGTCAGATTTTTATAGGGATGGTGGCGGGTACCCCTTTTGCTCTTCCATTATTTCCGGTTTTCTTCGTCATTTAGCATGCCTTCCGAACAGTGGCGCAGCCACAATTTTCTCCAGGGGGGAGGGGGGGGGGGGGGTCCGGAGATCGGTAGGCATGCATCACACCAAGGGCGTAGTTTCACAAAATGAGTTAATAGTCAGGGGGGATATAACGATGGATATAGTAACAATGTAGCGATACTGTATACCTACGGTAAGCATGATCAGCGCCAGATGTGACGCTCACCGGCACCGCATCAGCTAACTCCCATACGCTGGACGCCAGTCTGATGCTCGACTGAGCTAAGCGTAGCTCGGTGGAGAACGCATCATCAGCGCTCTTATAAGGATCATCACATTGCACCCATAACTTGCATTGGCAATACATATCCCACGTGACATTCAATTGTTGGGCGAAGGAACGTTGTTAGCTAAAATGGGCGGTTGACAAGAGACAGTGCTGTTAGACATGGGGAATAGGGCTGCTGTTGTTGGAACCTAGTATGTCCTGTGTAACATGTGGCCCGAGGCTTCGTCACGCAGAGTGCGCAGCATCCACAAGCCTGTGTGAGCGATGCCGTGCTATGCTTCTGCTTCAACCCACCTTCTCGTGACCCTTGTGGATGACGCCCAGTGACGCTGTGGCCGACATTTTGGCCCAGCTGTATGCCCGAGACAGCCAGTCCAGGTTATCCCTGCAAATTACGGCTGACGTCACAGCAGTCGCACAGAAGTGACACGGAACAAGCCTACATCAAGACGCTATGCCTGGCCACTAGATTGGTCGGTGAGGTTCAAAAGAAAAATATTATACTTCTATGAATCGGGGCGTTCAGATGACGCCGGCAGTTCGTCGCGTATTTGTCCGACATGCTCTTGGACAACAAAACAACAACTATATGCTAACATAGAAGAAAGCACTACTGGACACACCAGTGGCAACGTAAACCGCTCCACAGTCAAGGCCATCTCAGCAGCTGAGCTGGGCACGCCAGACTCGTCCGCGACTGCCACCAACCTGAGGAACTGGTCGCTGGTGGTGCCACACTGCATATAGCCGTGCGCCACCACCAGGGCAGTGTGGCAGACGGACGCGCGCACCGTGTCCTTGACCTGCTTCAGAATCATCAGGTCCGTGTGATTTCCACGGATGAGGAACTGCAGGTGCAGCTGGATGGCCACGTCGCCGGCCAGGATGGTGGTCAGACGCTCGTAGTGCTTCTGCACCTGCTGGTCCCGTTCCGACTGGCGGCGGCGCAGTACGTCAGGCACGGCTGCCACGGTGAGTACCGCGGCTCAAGCCTGCGGCAGTATTACTGGAGCCCGGTCAGAGGGCACACTGGCACGCTCGTCGTCGCCAGGCTCTGTGCTGCGTGTAAACCGCGCGCGCGCACGAGTGTCATTGAGACACAACGTGACCTGCGGAATGGATGCATTCAGGTGCACAACCTCGGCTACAGAAACTCTGAGACAATGAAAATGAAAGAATGAAAGTTTCACATAGCAGTTGAGGCAGACACACAACATAATCAATATCATCTGAAAAGATACTGTTCTCCAGGACTAGTTGTGCGACATCTTAACAATCGGTGGACTAGTGTTGTGTTCCTTCGTGTCATCAAGAGGGAGGGCGGCGGAGCAGGGCCATGCGGCCATGCCTCTCCTTCACTGACACATGATCAGCCTAGGCCTGCTCGCACGTCACAGCCGACCGGACGCCCTCAGTCTCCGGTCCCTCCCCGCCAGCGCTCACCAGCTGATCGGCCGTCTGGGGCCGCGCGTCGCCGGGCTGCTCGGCCCGGTCGGCCGCGTGCTCGGCCGGCGCGGCAGCTGTTACCGGGCCGGCAAGCAGCGCCGGCAGCGGCGCCGTCACCCGCAGAGCCTGCAGCACCCGGCCCACGAACTGCTGCGTCGCCGAGTCGTACAGGTCGAACGCGATCTGATAGCCCATCAGTGCGCTGTCCTGCGGGCATCGCGGGGGAACGAAGTCAGGCGGTATGCTGGCGAGACAGGGCAGAAAGCGCCATGGTCCAGCCCTTTCACACAGCTGGTGACACCTACATGGTGAATTAATGACAAAAAGTAAACACAAAGACAAACATAAGTACAGGCTAATAACGCATCCCTAAAAAACAGGACATTACATGGGAAAGAAACCTAACAGATAACATGTCCGACGAAAACCTAATTTCAAGTCCTGAATTCTAAGTGGGTAATCTTTATACCGACAGGTAACACTGGAGCAACACTACGTAATGACACTTCTTGAACGTCATTTGGCTGATATCTTCGACCAATCAGTACTAATCCCTACACATTTTGACACCATGCCCAAAATATACGTGGTTGGGGAAAGATACTGCACTCCGAATCCGGTGGCAATGGCACTGATCTCTGAGCGAATACATTGAATGGCCCGACTGGCATGGAAAGGTCAGCTGGCAACTGCCCAACGAGAACGACCCAGGCCCGGGGCGACCGCATCGCAGCATTGTGCGGCACGTAAAGCTCTTCGCATTCCTGTCTGGCGAAAGGGCGGAATTAAGATCATCCATTGGACTGCACGGTACGACTTCGGTGATGGGGTGTGTGGAACAAGTTGCAGCTATAATACGCAACACTCGAAATAACTTGCAAAAAGAAGACACCGGAACAAAACAAACCCGCACAAAGTGCTATGGCGCAGCCCATCTAAGACCTGTGCCATAACCCAGACCGGCCTCGGCACCCACCGCAGCGAGCCGTCGTATTCCCCACGAAGCACCAACACGTCTCCCGTTACTGGTCGTCCCGGGGCCTCGCCATTGTGTCTACTGACCTGCGTGCCGCGGATCAGCCGCTCCAGCACCTGGGCCACAGCGCTAGGGTCGTCCAGGAAGATCAGGCACTGACACATGTTGACGTAGTCGGGCGTGGCCAGGTTGCGGTAGAGGTCGACCAGCGCGCGTAACACCGCGTTACGGAACTGTCTGTTCTGGATCAGCGACATGGCCACCGTGAAGGCGTACTGCAGCATGCCGGCCACGTCGTCCTGCCGGACAGAGGTCAGCTGGTCAATGGGGAGGACTGAGGTCAGCACTAGCGACGCCACTTAGGTCAGCTGGTCAGTGGAGAGGTCAGGGTTAGCGACGCCAGTTAGGTCGTCTGGTCAACGGGAGGTCAGAGGTCAGGGATGGCAACACCAGTTAGGTCGCTTGGTCACTGAAGAGGTCACAAGTCAGGGCTAGCGACACCAGTTAAGTCACTTGGTCAGTGGAAAGGTCAGAGGTCAGGACTAGCAATGCCAGTTAGGTCCGCTGGTCAGTTGAGAGATCAGAGGTCAGGGCTAGCGACGTCAGTTAGGTCAGCTGGTCAATGAGAACGTAGGAGGTCAGGGCTAGTGACGCCAGTTAGGTCCATTGGTCAGTGAAGAGGTCAGAGGTCAGGGATAGCGACGCCAGTTGTCAGCGGTCAGCAGGGAGGTCAGAGGTCATGCCAGTTACGTTTAACATCGTCCTGAGGAACAGTGCCACAATCGAACATGGCGCCACTGACAGTACAGCACGGTGAAACCACCGCCACACAATGATTCACAAATTGCTAACACAGCAAGGCGTAACCCTATTCTCAGTAACAAGTTTGAGAGTGCTGGCAATACCACCAAGTTCAACCGGAACAAGCATTTCACAGTTGCACAGTACTGCACATCGAATCACGAGTCGCCCGCGGCTCCAAGAGAACGTCAACCAGAGTGGGAATCTTATTTTGCAATTCAGGGTTGCAGCTTCGCGAACTAGGTCGGAGATGAAGTTTTTATCCGCTTGCATATCCCAGGTGGAGAAAAAGAACGTGTTTGTATGTTAGCTTTAGCGTCTCTTAACAAACGTGGCTTTGCATAGCTTTCTTTGTGTTTTATTTACCAACAACCGCTACAACTAGTTTTGTTGGGTCAACTAAGTTTCGTTGTGTACATAAACATCACTCGTAAATGTCTCGATTCAACTCATTTAACAAGCTTTGAATTTAAAGCCCATTACACAAACATGAAAAAGCCACTAACCCTTCTACCCATTCAGCTGTCTAAAGAGCACTCTTTTTGCTATTGATCTGCCCAGTTACAGCTTAAAGCGTTGGAGAGATTATCCTTTGGGCCTGCATGCTACCTGAACATTGATCTTCCCACACTGTCATCTCTTTCCCAAAACATTTAGCAAAGTTATGGGTACAGTCGCAGGGAGATTGAGAGAACATTCCCATCCGAACTTTAGTAAGAGAGCCTATGCCCTTCAAGGTTAGGTTCCAGCCCCTTCCTTCCTTACAACCAGAACCGAACCCGAATAACTCATAACAGAAAGTTCAGCCAAAATTGCTGATTTGTTGGCCCTTATGGCCTGACCCACGACAAAAGACAACTTCCGTTGTTGAGAATAACTTTCCGTCAGGTGTGGGCCAACCTTCTGAAGCATAGGACACGTTAACATCCATTTGGCACCCCTGCTCGACTATGCATCTGGGTTTGAAAGATTGGAACCGACATAAAAATTAAAGATAAAAAAATAATTTTGAAAACAAACACTGCTTTGCTGAAACGCAGGCTTTCAATTGTATGACCAATGTAAAATTTGCACCATCACAGCTTTAAAGTAAATATGAAGACAAGTATTTCAAATACTTTCTAGGCCAATATTGCCTTCCATAAACTAAAAGAGAAACAAAGACATACTTAAAAACCACATTTGTTTTGAGCCCAAATCAAAATCGCCATGTGTTAGGCTTTGGATCATAGAATGCTGTGAACCCTCAGTTCTACCAAGCTCCCCTTATGGGCGCCGATGCATATACATACATATTTAGACTACAATGATGCATGCCAATTTGGACACAAAATGTACCACCTCAGGATTTCAAAACCCTAGTTTGTCTCCACGAAATTTTTCAGCAACCTATTTCTCATTAAAAGCAAACAAACCGTTTTCCCTACGCAACTTGACACTTGAACTCATAACATCCAGACGACAAATTTTCTGTTCTGTTAGCTTTCCATCAAATGCAGTTTCAGCGGTCCAGACATCGAGTCCCGTCCAGTGCCCAAAATATCCGAGGCTTCTTTGTGAAATCTACAACAAAATGTTCATCTATGTACACGAATGCGCCAGACAGCGACCATAACGTACCTACAGCGATTCCACTGCACCTCCTCGTCTTACACCTCACGGTTTGTATCCTTCCTCCCCATTCTCCCCATGTGCTGATAAACTACCCATCAGCATGGGTTTCGTTATCCTTCGCTGTCTACCACATTCGGTCTCAGATGGGTCGGTGAAACCTGGTCTGATGCGCAGCATTATTGCCCACTTTCCGCTTCCACACACAACTTTTTTCAGATGGACAATTCACTGGCGACGTCAGTGTTGGCGCCACCCCATGCCATGCAACAGCCAGTCATGCGCCGGAGAGTCCGGAGAGTGGAGACGTCTCCGAGGCAACCCCGAGAGAGGCGGGAAATTTCCACCCAAAGCGTGGCCGCCTGTGAAGGGTACCGGGGGATGCTTCCGGGGCGTCTGCGGCCCGACTGCGGCACGTAGAGACGCGAATGTCCACGAGCTTCATGCGGACGTGGCGTAAACGGTGTTGTGTAGTAAGCGCAGAGGGCAACCCAGGCTTGATTGCAAGGTTTATGATAAGAGTGGAGGTGAGGACGGATGAGGCATTGTTGGTGAGTGCTGGTAATAAAATCGTTAGAGATGGTTTCTTGGGCGATAGAAATTGGTGAAACGTGTGGGTCTTGGTACCTCTCGCTTAATAGACATCATAACTAGGGGTTTTGTGCATGGAGAGCTTTGCTGTTCATTCTTTCTAGCATAAAATTCTGAGTATTGATTCATCAGGGTTAACTTTCCTAACAAAGCGCTAAGATTCCAATACTGGCCAACCAGCGCAGGAAGGCTCCACAACTCCCTCCAGCCGACACCAAGCTTTCTCCCCACGTCCCGCGTCCGCTCACCGAGTCCATGATGGCCTTCTGGAAGACGTCCATGCGGCGCGTCTCGAGCGCGATGCCCAGCGCCTGGCGGTACTGGCCGTCCTGGAAGCAGCGACTGAGCATGCGGTCCACGATGCCCTCGAGGCGCGCATCGATCAGGTGGCCGTCGCCCTCGCCGGCCTCCTCGGCGTTCGAAACGCGCAGCTGGGTGTAGTGGTCGATACATTTGGCTGCAGGTGACGACGGGGTTCATGTCTCATGTCCAATAATGCCGGTATGTAATTATTGGAAGGTAGGAATGACACTCGGAAAACATATTCAATGTCTTGCCTGGTGCAATTGTTACGAGTGTCTGGCCACCGGTCATCACCGTTTTGGTTCAAACCACATTGAACATTGCAAAGTTGACAGCAGCTATGTGCTGAGGACCTAAAATGATCCCATCTCGGGGTTGGAAAATTTCTGATCTACATCATCCCTCGGCTGCCTCACTAATTCATCATCACAGCATGATGCAAGCAGAGCAGTCCACGAAAATAATTCAAACGACTCTCACAGGCCTCCACATGACCAACCACCACTGTCATCTATCCTTTTCCAGGCATTCCCAGCAGACAGACATGCTGGCATGAAAACACTCACCAATGATGGTCTCCACATACTGGGACTTGTCATTGACGTCGAACAGGTCTCCGGCGCCGAGCGCATATGTCAGCGAGTCCTCGAACGAACCCAGGTGGTAGTAGACTTTGCTGGCCACCAGTGCGGCCAAATGGCGCTCCGGGAAGCCTTTGTCCTCGTGCAGGATCTCGCTGCGTGCAGGGGGCGGCCGTCAGCACGAACGTGATGGCGCCATACAACAACTGCATCGGCCGATGAATATAATAATGGGCCGAACGTCAGATGCAACACCAGGTAAACATGGTAATACATGGCTCAAAGCAAACTATATTGTACAGCTGATATGTCCACTCAGATTTCCTATCATGGTGCATGAACTGCCAACACAACTACATAGAAGTAGGGGATACATGACATCTCGGTTCGAAATGGCATTGAAAGTTTGTGTTTCTTGTCCGCAGTTAATGGAACTGAAAATGTGTGTCATTTTCTACAGCTAACTTTGATTCCTGCTCATCTAGGCTCTAACCTAGGTGCCAGGTTCATACCAAGTTCAACTTATTGCAAAACAATGTTGCTTTAACTGAAGCTTACTCAGATGTACAGCCACAAATATTGTTGTATCTTGTTAAGTAATCAAGCAAATCAGCTTTCTTGACCTCCCCATCTTCACAGATGCTTAAATCCCCAGACTGAACAAACCACACTCTGAATACAGGAAGCACCAGCAAATTATCCATGTTGCATATGTAATGTTACTCAGTACAAGAGTCATGCAAATCTGCAATGCAAGTTTATATTTAATGAAGTCTGGATAAATTGTGCAATCCAAAATGTGTTGTATTTTGTCAACTTACATTTTCTCAATAGCCTCTGAGATTTCTGCCCAGAACTCATCTACAATGAGATCTAGTTTCTTCAGAGCAAACACCTTCAGCTCTGGCATGGGCTCTTCCAGGAGTGAGATGATACCAGCTGGGTGGGAGGAGGAGTCAGGGTTTAGCTTGATTAACCATGCCAAACATGATTAACACATGCCAAACACACTGGGAACAGTGCATACAAGGTGAATGAGGCAACACCAATGAAACTGGAGAATAGTGCATACAAGGCATATGATGCAACATGACATATTTCAGGTTCTAAGCCTTCAAGTTTCTGATGGTAACTATCTGTGCACAATTCAGTAGATATTTCATTCACTTCAGATATCAGTATCAACTTGACAATGGCCACATATTTTGGGCTGCCATGGCTTCTCTGTAAACACATTTGCTAAAATATACAACTAAAAACTTCACTAACCTGATGATGATATATTCATGATGACTAACTTTTATTACAGCTTGAAAAGGCTGTTCCTTCTGGTTGCAGCATACAGCTCTGGAACAAAGTCACTGGTCAGTACCTAGTAATTTAAGCATTTTACATATGCATAAACCAGTAATACCATCATTTTCATATGAACTTCCTGAAGCATATTTCTGCTGATGCATAAGTCTGGTTAAAACAGAAGTCTCTGATAACAATTTCTTTACAAACCATAGCAGGCACAAACCCTCTTGATTTATAGATATAAAATTAATAGTTGAATGCATCAATCCATTGTGCTAATGAATATTGATATGGTATTAACCTCATATTGATCTACAAAATTATAATCTTAAGTATGAAACAAAATTGGCCATCCACATATTTGCCTCCATGTTATTGGCTGATATGAATGATGCTAGGTTTAGAATGGTATGCCCTGTTGAAGTTGACATAGTGGTGTATACCCTCTATGGAAATACCTGCAGTGACATCAGTATAATCCAGCTGTGTTAGGATTTCCTGATCCTATCAGAAAGGTAACAACACAGCATCACTTTGCATGCAGTAGGTTGCTTAGCAGTAATTTACCTTAATAGATTGTACACCATCATATATCAGCATGATTAAGGATTTAGTTTCAATATCTGGAGAGGGACTGGTACAATAAAATGCTGTTTATTATTTTCCAAACATGCTTCCTTTTTCCCGGCAGACATCTGCCTCCAGCACAGTCAGCTCAAGTTAATCATGTTAACCAATCTGAGCACCTCACATTGAGGTTTAATTTATACTGGACAACACCATGCATGACATTCATATCCTTCACATCCCAAATTTGAGAATGTGTATGGTTACCTCAATAGGAGCTCAATGTGACTATGATCAACAGGCTGAATGACCTTTAAGCAGCATAAATATGAGGATGATATTTTGTCTGACATAACTAGTGCATAAGTAAGGTGAAGCATGGCTTAAAATAAAATCAAAACTATATAATTTTATTTGACATCCCAACAACACACCAACTTCCAGAATAAGGCAATTTATATAACACCATTATACAAGACTTCTTAAGACCAAAACATGTCAACCATCATCAGAAAACAGTGGCATTTTCTAATCTTAGGCTCAAAATAAAAATGTTCTTATGAGTTCTCAGTACAGCAGTATCAAAAAATGATGTTGATCAATGATTGGCAGGCAGGTCAGTCGAGCATCTGGCGAAGCCCCATTGCAGTCGCAAGAGAAGGGCATAGGGGCAAAAGGAGTACAGGTAGGATTAGTGGTAGGAGTAGGACTAGGCATAGGGGTAGGAACAGGAAAAGGCCAGCTTGTGTGAAATCCTGATGAAAAGTTCACCTCACTAGGACAGTGACACCATTTGCTATTACCATGTTCGCCAAAAAAAAAAGCTGTCACTGCACACTGCACAGGGTGAGGATGTATAGCTCCCAGTACATGGATGCATCATCCATTGCTATATTGTTCTGCTGTAGTCCTTATGCAATAGTTTGAGAAAATGAGCTACAGTGTTATGAAGTAGGGGCATAACTTAAAATAGGTACCATTTGTTACAAAAGAGCAATATACCTTGTCTTTTTTAGGGTAGTAAAGATCACAATCATTGCACTGGTACATGTACACTCTTTTAATCAATTCTTTATTGGATCTGATGTCTCTTAGATGTCAGTTGATGAACAATTTAATATTGCAGCATCAGGTACCAACACAAACAATGAATCACATGGCAGCACACAGATAGTAAGAAACATAGTTTAAACTATCTTCACAAACTTTGCCTGTAGGTTTTAACTTAAATCATAACAACAAAAAAACAGGTTCTCACAGCACTCCTGGGCACCACAGGTGGTCACTAATTTCAACACATATAATGCAAACATTTAAAAAACTATGATGTTAGGGTTATCTCATGCAGGAATACCACACCCAATAATTCAAGAACAATAATCTGAAAATGCTGCATCATATGGCCCAGTCAGCCAGCACAAACATACTCCAACTTAAATATGTTTGGATCACGTAAATGCTCGGCCCAGTGGGTAAATTTTAGCCCGACCTGTCTGCCACCGTCAAACTTAGCAATGTCCTGTTCCGCAAAAGCACCCCTGCACATATCCACCAGGAAGGTCCGAATCAAGGGTCTGAATGCTAAAGATATAGGCCGGCCTCACAAAGTTCGAAGGCTCTGTTTTTTTCGACCCGTCGCCCTAATCTGTCTTCTTTTGTAGACACTATCGCGACTAAGCCCTCCAACACTCACTCGACGATATCTGCTGCAACACCGTCCACAAAGAACCGCCCAATACCGCTACAGCAAAATGAACCGGTCCAAGCCGCTGGCCACCCCCGGCTCCGCGATCACTCGCCGCTTACTATGCACAAATTTTGAGGCACTTGTGGCTCAGACATAAAGGCGCACGGTCAGTAATCAAGAGCTCTAAAACATGTATTTCAATAAAAAGTTCTCTCATTATTTCACCTTATCAACAATGCACTCGTATAGTTTTTCGATTAAATAATTTAAAAGAATATATAATTCCATTTGACCTTGAAATTTGTAAGACTTGTGAACAAAAAAGCTTGTAAGGGAAGTATACAGAGCTGACCGCCAGGAAACATATGGTCGAACGACACAACTAAGGCGTACCCGGGTGCAGCTAACGTATTTCAATTGGCTCTAGACTTTCTACTGGCATGGGCGTGTGTTATTTCGTATAACTGGTATATTCATACCATGACTATTCTGGGTAGGATACAGTTAGATATATCTTACTGTGAAAACTCACATATAGCCACATTTACCCCACATTCTATGTTCCTTGGCATGCTAGACGTGTATCTCAAACGGTTGTTGCCTGCTGCTACATTATGTTGCTTTGATTTCCAAAGGTAAAGGAGAAGACATGCAGACGTCCAGAACCTTCTAAAGCTCCATTTGTTTATGGCTGGTTACTAATCTGTTGCCTGTCTTCTTACCGCGGGTGTCAATTTGCGTCGTTTTGGGTGGGCAACGCGCCCCCTCCCCCCCCCTCCCCCCATGTTCAATTTGCTCTCCCCCATGCACGAGTTTGGCCCCAAACCTTCTGGGGTTCATGTAGAACATTTCACATAGAAGCCCGAAACTATACAGCATTTAAAGAAGGCTTCTGCGAATTGTTTCACAGTCAAGACAACCAAACAAAAACATAACTGCGATATCATGTCCAGTTTAGTGCACCTGACTGAGTTAGTCACACTTGAAGCACGCGCTTGGGTAGAGGGTTAAATCACCCCCCCCCCCCCCGAGTGTTTTTACGGAATGGCTTCCGAACGGGATGGCGTAGCTGCGCCAAATTTTGCAGACAACTATCAATCCACTATCGGTCCGCTACTCAACTGTAGACAGGTGAATAGCGGATCGCGTGTACCTTGTAAGATCGCTGACGTACAGCAGGTCACAGTCAGGCCATGGATTCGGTTAAGTCAGTTTCAAGGGAATCTTTCAATCCGATGGAACAACGGAATGTCGGATGAAACGATGCATGCTTGAAATACTTTCTAAGGCAACACAACAACTGAATGGACAAATTCAATTGACCTAGTGTTCAGTAGCAGGAGTCTGGGCTGAATGCCGTTCTACGGCTGGCGCCGGCCAGCTCGCCGGCGAGTGTGCAGGTAACACCAGCCGAGGCAGCAGAAGCGGGAGGTGTTTGTGCGCTTACGGGTTATGTTCGCTTTGTTCCGGTAATAAAGCAGTTACGGACGGAACAAATTGGCGACGAGGATGGGATGAAAGTAAGCGCAGTCCACTTACTTTCCAGTTTAGTATGTCCAGTTATTTACTTAGTTGCCCTGCTCGAAATGCGTAGCCCGGCGCCGCCGGCACCATTTTTGAGGCACGTGCCGCCCTGAAATCCCTGCCGCCGCCACGCCGCGCTTTGCTGAAATTGAAATGGCCCAATCACATGGTTTACCAATGCCGTCGCGTTATGGAGTTGGCCAGGACTTCGCGCGACGGCTCCGGGGTTGCGAATTTTATGTGCTTGCGTCAGACATCACCTCCAGCCCCCGGACAGCCACGACGGCTCTCACGCTGCTAGGACTGGAAGTCCAAGAGCTCGCCAGGACACTGTCAAGTGCACCGGAAGCAGCTCCGGACGAGAATAGCAGATGGACGGCTAAGCTGACGGCACACTTTGATGCGAAAGTTAATACCACTTACGAGCGAGCCCAGCTCCATGTTTTCGGAAGGAAAGCCAGAGAGAGTTTTGGGGTTTTCGTGTCCCGGCTGTGAATGCAAGCGGACTGCTGCCAGTACTCCGAGCAGCGCGATGCAGTCATGCTTGAGTATGCGGTGGCTTACTGCGAAAACAGGAAGTTCCAGAATAAATTATATGGAAGACCGGTGCTAACCTTGAGCGAAGCCCTGGAAATAGCGAAACAGGAGGAACAAGTTCGTGCCCAGGTGGACAGACTAAATTCCAACGCCCTCTCAGTTAGTTCGTCCGAAGCGGATGCTAACCTGCCGGCGCATCGTCGGGACGCATCAGCCTGTCGAACCTGCGGTCAAGCCGCACCGGCCATACGGCCGCGGGGGCTGATTCAGGCTCCCCGGGCCCCGACAGCGCCGGCGCGCTCCAGGTGCCGCAGCAGGCGCCACGCCAGCGGGGACTGTCTGCTCAAGCAAGCTGACTGTTATGCTGTCACCGAGTGGGGCATACCAGGAGCGCCTGCCGAAGCAGGCACCAGCCGAGAAGTGACCGCACAGATCAAGTCGCTGAAGATGTTCCAGCTCTTCAAGACTGTTCACTGGGTGGTGGAGGACCATGCCTACGGTATCAACAAGGCGATGGTCAGGTCGACTCCAGTAGTCGTAGATGTTTCGCTCAATGGAGCACCGGTTACGATGCAAGTATACGCGCTGGAAGCTTCCTTGCAGAAAGATCGAGCTGAGTACAGCGGCCTGCTCAAACCGGACACGGGTCGCTACAATGTTCGAAAACTCTTCATCGAGCTTGATCCGGTAGTGAGGCTGATCTTCCTGAAACATCGACCACTGCCCTTCGCGCAGCCGGAGGTGATCGAAAAAGAGCTGGACAGACAGGTTGCAGAAGGAATCATGGAACCAGCGAAAACGTCTCGCTGGTCTGCACCAGTGGTGCCGACTTAAAGGCAAATGGCATTCTTCGTCTCTGTGGCAGCTATGATGAAGCGGTAAATAAGGCTAGCCAGCTGGAGAAGTACTCACTGCCCGAGGTGGACGAGCTATTCGCAGGTATGACTGGCGGCAAGATGTTCACCAAAATCGATCTCCGCGAAGCTTACTTCCACCTGGAACTGGATGACGAGGGTGGGTAAGGTAGGCACGGGTAAGGACGAGGGTAGGAGGCACTCACCATCAGCGCCCAAAAGGGGTTGTTTCGCCCAACTTGACTGGGATTCGGTGCCAAAAGCGCTGTCTCGATCTTGTAGCGTGGGATGGAGACGTTGCTGTCGGGCATACCCAACGTGGTGGTATTCCTTGATGACATCGTCGTGACTGGTCCAAACATATCCGCTCGTTGAGAAAATATAGGGGAGGTGCCGCGCCGTCTGAGCTCGGTAGGCCTGAGAGTCAATAAAGATGACTGTTTGGCTGGCCAAAGAGGCGAGGTACCTCGGCTTCTGCATCTCTGCCGCCGGAGTCTACCCAACGTCGGAGAAGACAAAGGCTGTGCAGGATGCTTCGGAGCCAAAGAATCTGTCTGAGCTGAAGGCTTATCTCAGCCTGCTCCAGTATTGCACCGGATTCCTGCCCGGCCTGGCTGCGGTAGCAGCATCGCTGTACTCACTAGAACGGAAGGGAGCGACCTGGAACTGGGAAGCCTCTCAGCGTGCCACGTTCCTGTAGACCAAACAGCTGTTTGTCGCTGATCCGGTACTTACCCATTACGGTCTGGAAAGCCGTTAGTTCTAACAACTGGCGCCAGCTCGTATGGCCTAGTAGCAGTCCTCAGCCATCCTGACGCTGAGAAAGGAGACCGTCTAATCACCTACGCTAGTCGAAGTCTAAGTGTTGCTGAACATTACTACAGTCAGCTCGAGGAGGCGCTGAGGGTAATGTTTGGAGTAGGAAAATTTCACCAATACCTGCACGGAAGACCATTCCTGGCCAGAGCAGATCACAACCTCGTGCTTGGTCTGCTGTCTGCTGACAAAGCCCTATCCCCCGCAGTGTCCCCCAGGATCCCGCGTTGGCGAGTGTTAACGCTTGGCTATCAGTACCAGTTCCAGTTCGTCGCCGGGTAGTACATCGACAACGCGGACGGCCTCAGCCGCCTGCCTCTGCCAGTCGATCCTGCTAATGTTCCGGTACGTGGTGACGTCGCAAACATGCTGGAAGACGTGTCTCACGCAGTGGACGTGGGCCGCATCCGTACCAGCACCAGCCGGTATCCGGCCCTCTCCCAGGTGTTCAGGGATCTGCAAAGAGCCGTCCCCCAGACGTACAGCTGGCTTGGATTTCGTGTTTATTGAAAAGAGGGACGGGGTACGGTAAGGTAAGGGATTCTCAACGGGGGGGGGGGGGGGGGGCATCTGTCTAAGCGCATTTGCGGAAAGTTTGAATACCATGTTGTTAACTTATGCGTGGAATGAACATTAACAGCAGTGCGCGTGACTTCGTTAGCACTGATGTTCACGGAAATGCATGTGTTTTATCCATTACATTTTGGTGTATTGAGAACCCGCATATAAATGGGTTGTGATAGCCACATACATTGTGGATGCTGGACGATTCTTGCAAACGGATGAATAAAAACAAAAAATCCTGAGCACATGACGGTAAATTATACGTCAATTTATTTTTGCAATAGGCAGGGGAGAGCCTGCAACTGCATCCGTTCAGCCTCACGAAACAGGTGCCTTTATAAGAAGTAAATGCAAACAAAGCAAAGAAGGGAGGTTTCCATGCATGATTCCTTTGGCTACGCACATGCGCTTATACACACATATATATATATATATATATATGAAAAATTTTGGCAGAATCCTTTCTCTTGTAATGTTTGGTGAGAGATAACTACTGACTCAGCATTGGCGAGCTTTTTGATGTATTGTTCTAGCTTCCGGGCCTTGATTGGACAAGACTACATTCAGAACTGATAAGAATCGGACATATCTTGGTGAACAACGGTTTTTCAAATTCCGACGTCGAAAACGAGATACAAAGACAAATGACAAGACACTTTGACGGCAAACCTACACAAGACATCCAACCAACCGTCAAACTGTATTATCAAAATCAAATGACATCTGCCCACAAGCAAGACGAACAAGCTTTACGGGAAACTATCTCTCGACATGTTAAAGGCAAAAACGATCACAAAATAGACATCGTCACTTATTACCGTAATACGAAAATATCTAATTTTCGTATGAAAACCAGCCCAGACAAACCCGACAAACTAAAATGCACCAATGTAGTGTATCGCTTCCAATGCAACGTCGAAGGCTGCAAACTGCGTTCCATACACTACCTTGGTGTGACCACAACGACACTCTCACGACGTCTGACAATGCACTTACGTGACGGGGCACCTCTGGGCCACATGCGACACGAACATGACATGACATTGACACGACATTAACTGACAGACAGCACCGACATTTTACGAACGTGCAATGACAGAAGACGCCTTCAAATTTTGGAAAGCATATGCATTCACGAAATCTCTCCGGCTTTAAGCAGGCAGACAAATTCTTGCACAACTCTCGAACTATTAGGTGGTAGGCGGTGAACACTACTGATGTGTTTGTGGCAATAATGTTCTCATTGCGTCTTTGTAGTGTTCCCGTTATGAGTGTTTCTTATATGTGCCAAAGTGAAAATAGTATTCTGTCTGACTTCAATTAGTTGCGCTTCATTTATGTCCTCCATACCAAAAGATGTTTTCCAACAGAAGTGCACAATTTGTTATCCTTTAAAACCCAAAACTTATTTCTTGTGTCAGTTAGTCTTCTCCGACGATGAGATACTATTTCGAAACGTTAGAATGGAAGGAGCGATGAATATATGAGTAATTTTGTGCGGACCATCTTTAATCGAAACGATGGTGCTAAGTCCAAGGCCCAGAAACTAGAACGATGCATCAAAAAGCTCGTTAATGTTGAGTCAGCAGTTATTTTTGATCAAACATATATATATATATATATATATATATATATATATATATTCACAGATACCCAGAACAGCGAAAATCATTTGGTTCCGTCCCCTTTTGACGACTTCGACGAATTTACCTCCCTCCCCCAAACAGTTCCAGAAATTGACACCCATGCTGCCTGTCTGCCTGCCTGCAGCTAGGCGAGGCAGATGTAGGGTAAACCCCTGTCATGCCACCCCTGAATCTGAATGCTTCCATAAAAGGAGTAGGTAATGCGTTCAGATCTTAAGTAAAGGGCACTAGGCACACCATAAAGACTGGAGACAACAGGCAATGAACAAAGGTCACATGTATAAGAACATTGGGTGTCCATATACCATAGTGACAGTATGTCACATAGGTCAATGGTGGGAGACAGCTGGAACACCTGGCACTGCAGTTTCAGTATATATAGAAGGAATGGTCCTTTGTGGGGAACAGCTCAAGCTTTTGACCTAAAAAAAAGAGGCTAGGTGATGAAGTCAGATCACTTTTGGAGGATAGGCCAACCTCGAGACAAAATGGTCATAAGAAAGGCCACCGGTCAGCTAACTAATGGAGAACGCGTCAAACTTTGGACTGCAGTTTACAATAGCATAGTTAGCACTACGACAAGACAGGTCATGTCGTCCGGTCACTTGTGGGCATCTGGAGCTTCGAGGTCACAGCTGCTGTCGCGACAGTGTTGCTGTTGCAGGATGAGCCTCGTGGTCAGGACAACACTGAAAGACAGGTGGAGCCCAGACACCGCAGTTATAGGTCACGCGACCAGATGACTAGTGGGAAAGAGCTGGAGTTCTGAACAGCAAGGCATCACGGTTGATTAACCACTGGAGAACAGATGGCTGAAGCTCGGGCTACCACAGCCTGCAACTTGCCCCAGTGACCTGCAACCTCCCCTTGTGACCTGCAACCCGGCACCGTGACATGCAACATGTCCCTGCGACCTACAATCTTCCCCCGTGACCAGCAACATGCCCCGTGACTTGCAAACGACACCGTGACATGCAACATGATACTGTGACCTGCAGCAGGTCCCGTGACTTGCAACACACCCCAGTGACCTGCAACATGCCACGTGACCTGCAACATGCCTTTTGTGGCCTGCAACCCTGATATCATGATCTCGCAACCTGACCTCATGGCCTGCAGTCTGATCCCATGACCTTAACAACCTGCCCCCGTGACCCACAACTTGCCCCCGTTGTCTTGACCGTCGCAGTGGTCGGATTTATTAGCTCTTGATCTTTTATTATTTTATGATTAGTATCGAGGATAGGATTAGAAAGTGACGCTTCTTAAGTTTGCTGACATTAGATTGGTAGGCGTGTCGAAAGATACCGGCCAGGGGAGCCATACACAACCCGGCTTAGGGAATCTAGTGGGCTGGGCTTATCTGCGGTAGGTGTCATCCAATTTTTTTTTATAAATTTGGTCCGAATAAATTTGGCAACATTTAAAAATTCTTTCAGACAAGCTTTGTCGGTCTACCATCTTATCTATAGCTAAATTCAGACAGGTCAGGTGGTAAGTTTAGTTTCAAGGGTGTGTGCGGAAGCTGAAGTAGGCCATCCTTGATGGTTCCTTGTGGCTCTTTGTTGGCCAGATGTCTTTAAGTCTCTATGAGACAGTTAAGCAGCGTTGTGACAGACCAACACATCTGCTGTGCCGACTGTCAGCCGATCACCAGGACCTTAGCATCGGCCAAGGGGTCTACTTGCGGGGGTCTAGGGTTATAAGGGATCTACCTTAAAAAACCGTCGGCTTCCGAGGCCGCACTGTTGGGATGGATCCTTCAACGGGATAGCCTGAGGGGCAATGGACGGCAAGTATCAGCAATGCCGCCATGCCACCACTGCTGTGCTGGTCTCGAGACGGCACTGCCGGCCTTGCACAGCAGTAGCTGCCAGCATCACACATTGAGCACCAAGCACGGTGCCTGTGTCTACCTCTGGCCGCGCTGGGGACAACCGCCTCTGGACGGCCACCGTCGCGACGGGTTCCATACGCCAGACGTGATGAAGCTGTGTAAATGTGGCGCGTGGCGCATCCATCCCCGCGGGCCACATGCTGTTTTTCAACGTGTGAGTGCAGTTATTCTGGCGGTGTGTACACTTACTGTAATTCTGGGACGAGATTAAGTAGGTTAGGTCCAGATGTGACCCGCGGCGTACATCCGTCGCGGGCCATATGCTGTTTTTTTTTCCAGTGTGCGAGTACAGTATTTGCTGTCACGTTTGGCCCGGGC